TTTGTTATCTCAAAATAACTTTTGTTTGTAAAATTTTTTAAAATATTAAAGAGCGTTTACTTATTAGATTAATTGTTTAAATATTACTAATAGTAGATGTCATTGATATTTGATTGTTGATAATAATTATTTTTTATAGTTAAATATCTAATCTATTTAATTATATAATCAACAACTACAATACCCATAAAAACCTATAAACTATCTATGATAATAAGACAAGTTATGTTCATACAATAGAGTAATATAATGAATGGTATGGTACTTATCTGAGATTCATGTCCCCGGCCGGAAGCTTATGTCCTTAGATGTCTCCATGGACATGCACTTTTATATATGGTTCCAAGAAATAAACATATACAGAAATAAATATTACATGAAAAAGGATGAGGAACATGTTTAGTTTGTTTAGTACCCTATTAAATTTTATTTGTCTTAATTTAATTTTTTAATTTTTTAGATAATAATTTTAAAATTATTTCTATTTATAATTTTTATTGGTAATTTTATCTAATTGAAAAAAAAAAATTCACTTTTGATATTTATATACAATGTTAAATTTTTATCAAAAACTAATATTTAAAAATCCAAAAGGTTAAACAAAAGCAGTATTTATAGCTCACTGAATAGGCCACATAGAATACTTCTCTTAATTAATATTCTTACATACATGACAGCTAGTTCATATGGAGGTCCAAGGCTAATTATATTAATTATATAGTATTCATCAAAAACCATATCAAAAGTACCCAAAGTTATCCAATGAAATATTTCTCTTGATAAACTATCCCCCCCACCCCCTCCCCAACCCCTCAAAAAAAAAAAAAAAAAAAAAAAAGAACAAAAAAGAAAGAGAAAATTGAAAGTACATGAGAGGGATAAGATTTAGGGATCTCAAAAGCACCAATTGTGTTACTGTTAGGGCAGAAGAAGAAATTCTGTCGCCAAAAACCCTAACACTCATCTCTTCATACTGTGTTAAGATTCCCCAAGCTCATCTCAGATCAAAAACCAAATGCAATGCAATTACAACATTTGTTGTGTAGAGTGTAGACCTATGTTTGAAAAACCCTTAAAAATTTAAACTAAACAACAAAAAATAAAAAAAGAAAGAAAACAGAATTAGAGGAGTCCCAAAAAGTAAAAAATGGAAAAGGAATGATTCGCACCTGCAGAATAACAAAAAAATAGGGTTGTTCGATTGATCTCGTGATCCCATCAACAGGTGAAGCTACCACATGATCTGATCTATCCTTGACAGAGAAGGAAGTTTAGATCATGCTGGCAGCTTCAACTGCTGCTGGTGCACGACGGTCCTCATCCACCTCCATGAGGCCCAGAGAGAAAGAAAGAGAGATAATCAAATACAGCTGTTTACCCATCTTTTTCTTCTTGAATGGGGAGAAGGGGGTTGGGGATATAAATAGGGAAGGGCCGGCCAACAATGAACCAAATGTGCTCTAATTAGGGTGTGGTTGATAGCTATTACATATAACTTTTTCATACAAGATATTTTTTAATAAAAAATATTAGTTTATTACAAATAAAAATTTATTTATATATTTAAATAAAATTTTAATAATTTATCTATTTATTTTTAATAATTGAGATTTATTTTTATTTATTAAAAAAAATAATTTTTTTATCTAAAGAATTGTGACAAAATGTTCACCATTAAAAGTGAAAAGATAAATAATTAAAATTTTATATAAGTATAATATGTAAAATTTATATGTGAATAAATCACTCCTCATATATTATAAATTAATTAATTTTAACATTT